TCGTGGCTTCGAACTCCCCTTCTTAGCCTACATTTACAAGTTAGCATTGTACTATATAAGAAACAGCCCCCTCTTTCTTTCATTCATTCATGGATCCTGGTTTTATTTAGATTCTATTCCATTATTACCGTTAGCTATCTTGGTGCTCAAATTGTCCCATGGATGTTCCTTGGGAGCCACTTTAATCTGGCTTCTACTTTATACTGGTGCCGCAGAGCTGAAATCGTCAGAGTCCCGGCTGCCACTGAGTTGCTTCCAACTCAATGACCAGCGTGAGTCAGACTAGAAGTGCACCACGTGGAAGGTTCTCGATGGCTGCTTCACTTCAGGAAGTGCTATGGCCAGGCCTATTTTTCCCAGGTGCCCTTGGTTAAACTTGAACCACTAATCTTTCAGTTAACAAGACAATGGCCTGTTGGCAGCTTCTCAAATCCCTATTTAAAAAAAAAAAAATTCTTTTTAAACATTGTCCCATAGACAACCAGGAGTAAATTTAAGAAGAAATGTTTCTAGAAAACACGTTTTACAGCTCAAAACTGTTTTTAAAAGGTTACTGGAAGGTGTCGGGATGTCAGTTAAATGACTACATCGGTATCTAAGATCCATTTCTGGTTTTGTCTGATTTGGGCCACTGAACAGCCATCTTTGAAGGTACCGAAGGGTCACCTGTCAACTAAAGTGGTATTTTACATCTACAATAAAGAACCAGAAAATTCACAGAGAGGAAACTAGAGGCCAGCATACGCAATTCGCTAGCACTCTTGTAATGATATTAGTCTGAATTATTTTATCAATTTGCATTTTAAATGGACTTGACTAATACACAGATGCCAAAGGACAATTTTATATGAAGAGTGAAGTAACGACACAATGAAGGTCATTTGAGAGCTCCCGCCACGGTGGTCATCAGGAGATGGGAAGGGCTATTCATGACCCTGAAGCTGTGAAATGAGTATGAAGGACCATCCCGTTTTTTTTTTTGAGCCCATGGATTTGCGTTGATGAATGAGATTGAACTTTGTAATTCACATGCAAATATGAATTTCTTCTGAAAGAAGAAAGCCAATTTTGGTGTAGTTCTACAAGAAAATTTATTGCATAAGGAAAATTTAGTAAAATTATGCTGCCTGCCAATGGGTCTACTAAGGCTCTTGTCTGCTTTTAAAATGAAGTGGACTGTGTTTTTAATATTATAATCAAGGTTTATGATAGCTCTATTCATGATTCAAAACTGTCATATTTTATTAATAAAGAGGCTAAAGTTATTAGTTTAAGTACAGAAATATAATATACACTTTATTGTTGTAAAATATGTATTAAAATAGGGATAGGTGACTTTCATTACATATTATGTCTTTTTAGTAAAATTTAGAAAAATTGTTATAGCTTGTTCTTACCAGGTTCTTGTTTGGTTTTGTTTTTTGTTAAGATGTCAAAAAGCCCTCTGCTACCCTCAGGTACCCTCATCCTAATTTCCAAGGGTGATGG